CTTGACCATATTTGTAGGCATGTGAGACTTGATTGGACCCTTGGAAACTTCATTTTCTTGATCAGAACAAAAACCCTAATTTTGACTGTTTAGGAGGCCCTTGAACTGTGCAACCCTTGGGGAATTTTGAAGCTTGACTTGGCAATTTCTTGGAGAATATGGGAGGGCAAATTTTGGGGTACAACACATAGCTAGAAGGATAATGAACAGAAAAGGAAAGCAGGATGCTGCCAAAAGCATCTCCAAAGAAAAAACTGTTGATATTGTTCATAAGAAAACCAGGTCTGAGAACAAGACTGGAGTAGAAACTGTGAAGGCTGGATTGTCAAAAGGGAAGGTGAAAACTCGAGTACCTGCTGGTAGTCTCTCAAAACCTGTGAGACAACCAATAGCAAAGAAAAGGAAAGAGCCAGAACCCTCTGAAACTGATGAGGAATCAGAATTTGAATTTGATGTTGAAGACATTCCTCTCAAAAGGAAACTCTCCTCAAGCAAAATGCCTAAAGTCCCTGAAGTCCCCACTGACAACATTTCCTTTCACCATCCTGAGAATGCAAACAGGTGGAAGTATGTAAGTTTGAAAAGGATAGCCTTGGAAAGAGAACTGAACACCAGTGCCATGGAATGTAAAGAGATCATGGATCTAATCAAAACTGCTGGTCTAATAAATACTGCGGTAAAGTTTACCAACTGCTATGAAGTTCTTGTCAAAGAATTCATAGTGAATTTATCTGAAGGGTGTGCTGATGGAAAGTCAGCTGACTTTAAATGTGTATATGTGAGAGGAAGGAAGGTAAATTTCTCTCCCTCTGAAATAAACAAATTCCTAGGAAGACCAGATGATGCTTGCCCTGAGCTAGAGGTACTGATAACCAAGTGTGCCAAACCATCACTGCAAATCAAGTCAAGAGCTGGCCCTTAAAAGGGAAACTGAATGCAAGCAAGCTGAGCATGAAATTTTCCATTCTGTACAAAATTGGTGCAGCTAACTGGGTTCCCACCAACCATAAATCAACCATCTCCACAGGCTTGGGAAGATTCATTTATGCTGTTGGAACCAGGACAAACCTTGACTATGGCAAGTATATCTTTGATCAAACATTAAAACATGCTGGAAGCTATGCTATTAAAGGCCCTATTGCCTTTCCCTCTCTCCTATATGGTATAGTCCTTGCTCAGTATCCTGACATTCTAGTTGAAAAAGATATTGTATGAAAAAGAGCCCCTGCTCTTGGGTTGCACTATAAGCTATTTCAGGGAACACATGTTCCTGACATTGTCATGACATCAGCTGAGACATCAACTGTGAAATCTCATTCCAAGAAAACTGATGTTATAGCTGTGCTGAAGGAAACCTGCAAAGAGCTTGACACAAGGAAAAGGACTCTTGAGGACCTGATTGCTAGACTAGAACAGGAGGAGATTGAAGGACAAAGAAGGGAAGAGGATGCTTCTGAAGACCAGCTTCATGCTGAAGATAGTGCCTCCTCTGAAGATTACAGTGCTTGAAGATCATTGCAGTTGAAAAGTTTGCTACTGGTACCTGATGCTGCAAATGACTTTTGATTTTTTTTTCTGTGTCTTTATTATTCTTTTTGGATGACTGTATAACCTAAAAGTACAAGTATCTTTGGCCTATTTATGGCTAAAGAGGGGGAGAAGAATTTGTGTGATAATTTTGGTAGAATTAGACTTGGTGGATATTATTAATTCTGCTGCTTTCTAATCTTTGATTGTTTAGGGGTTTTAGCCAAAAATTTGCCAAAGGGGGAGTTTGTAAGTGTTTGGATGTTGGCATGTTTTTTGGTAAAACCAGTTGTGTGAATGTCATGACTGATGTCATAACATTCTGGGACACAAGGTACATTCTGCAGAAAAAGAATGTCATACAGGAGTTGCTCAATATGAGTGTTTAGCTGATCATTATGCAATGATCATATTTATTGCATTCTACCAAAATCTGTAAACAGGATTCTTGTTGTCATAACCAATGTTAAGACATCCTGTACTGAACTAACACTTGTGCAGATTTATTATTTTCTGAGAAGTTTCAGGAATCTGGTTATTCAGTTCAGATCAGATTCTCACGTGGACTTAGGTTAACTTTGGTTAACCCTAATCTGGTTGTTAAAGTCCCATGACCAAGTCTTGAGGTTAACCCTAATTAACCCTAGCTATTTTCGTGGAAGCCCTAACTGAAGAATAGCAGCCTATATATTCCTCATGAAGACTGTTGGTGAAACATACTTTTGACAGAAGATCAATAAGGGACTGTATAGTTGTAACTACTATAATCCAAGCAATTATCATTGTGATAAGTGACTTGGAGTAGGATTTGATTGTAAGGGTTGTGTATCACTCAAAGCTTTGAAGCACAGGTGTTTGTGTCACTTGATTAAAGCTTTGAAGCAAAGCTAAGTTAGGGTTGTGTATCACTCAAAGCTTTGAAGCACGAGTGTTTGTGTTACTTGATTAAAAGCTGTGAAGCAAAATCAAGTGTATGTTCTGAAGAGTGTCTTCATAATTTCATTAGTCAATTGTTTAATATCACTGCTGTGATTGAGGGGGAGTGAGTAGGAACTCAGGTTTAAGTTGAACTTAGATTGAAGTTGCATTGGGTAGGTCTTAAGTGAAGGAGATAAACTGGTTGGTTTATTCCTGAATTAATATCTCTTATAGTGGATTTCCTCCCTGGCTTGGTAGCCCCCAGAGTAGGTATTGTTACACACTGAACTGGGTAAACAATTGACTGTGTTATTTACTGCTTTTAGTTTTACTGTCTTGAAGAGTGTCAGATACGGTGTCATAACATTCACTGTGACATTAAGTATCTGCAGCCAGAATTTCAGTCTTCTTTCTTTCTCTAAATGTGATTCTCCATCTTCAAAGAGGGAAATAATACCACTAGTTAATATTTCACTTATATAAAAAAATACAAATTAAAATACAAACGTTAACAATAAATAAGAATACAAGTCAAAACTTAGTTATTCAAAGGAAAATTTTACCTTCTTCACCGGGCTCTATTCTATTGAGTAAAGTAGTGTAGTCATTGCTTAACTTAGAACTCATACCACCTTAAAATATGAAACACAATACAATATAAATAATAACCAATTAACAAATACCAAATTATATATCATTTTACAAACACTCCTAACATGCTGATTTTTATAATTAACCTATATTTATTTTACTGTTGTATTGATACATGAATAATAATAATAATAAACACTATAGAAAAGATAGATATCCTATAATATTAAAAAGTTTCTATGTAATGTTAAGCAAATTGTAAAGGCAAGCTTTATGGACTTTGGACAGTGACAATAGTACGTATTATATTTAATAAAGAGGTAGTATATTGGTTTTTATAATTAACCTATAAAAATTGACAAAATATAATAAAAGCTTACCACTATTTTCAGTACTCCATAACCAACTTCTAGCACACATTAAAGCCTCTAAAGTTGTCCAATGAAGTTGACTGCGACGCGGGTTTAAAATATACCTGCTAGTACTAAATGTGGATTCTGAAGCTACTGAAGAAATAGGAATTGCTAAAACATATTTTGCAATTGCTTGGAGTGTTGGATATTTGATGCCATTTAACTTCCACCATAATAAAATATCAAAATCAAGACTTTGCAGTAAAACTTCCTCTTCCAAATAATGATCCAATTATGTTTTAACACATGAAGTTCTAGCTTTTTTTTCTTCCGAACATATGTATCATAATCTAAACCATCATTAGCCACACGGCTAGATTCCAACATTGGTGAGTCACCACAACTCTCTTGGTTGAACTTCAATTGATAATCAGCAATTAATTCATAACATAGTTGTTTAATCCTCTTAACTTGCTCAGTAGAGTCTTCTTCATATAATTTTTCATAATAGTACTCAAGTAACTCCATTTTGTACCTAGGATCCAAAACACTATCAATTCAAATTATATCATGGGTGACACTCTAATATTTATCAAATTTTTGCAACATCTTGTAAGACATTTCTTTGATTGATAAATTGGAAGAATTAATCCAATCAGATATTGTCAATTTAATCTTACAAATATCAGGAAAAAACATATTGGAAGTGGGATACTTAGTGCCTGAAATGATTGCAGTGATCTTATTGAACAACTCTAATCTTTCACAAACATCTTTTGCAAATTTCCATTGTGAACTAGTTGGAATACAAGTGTATCATGTGTCATGTAGCCTTAACCGACTAAATACATCCTCATACAAATTAGCAATGTCCAGCATTTTATAAGTGAAGTTCCATCCAGTTGGACAATCTAAACTTAGAGTTTTAGTGCAAGAAATTCGCAATTGCTTAGTTGTCTCCTCAAATTTTTCTTTTCTTTTAGGAGTTGTGGTCCAATAAGCTATATTGTCTCGAATCTTTTATATTCCATCTTTCACTACTTCTAAGCCATCCTTTACTATCAAATTTAATATGTGTGCGCAACAACGCATATGAAGTAAAGATCCATCCCTCAACAAAGTATATAAATGCAACTTCTCCTTAATTTTGTCCATCACAGCATCATTCGTGCTACAATTATCTAAAGTGATAGTTGACAATTTTGTATCGATATTCTAGTCCATTAAACACTTAACTAAAGCAGAACAAAGTCTATCACTTGAATGAGGAGCAGGAATATAAATGAACCTAGCATATAATAAAATTCAAAATATGATATAACTGAATCTAACATATTATATTTATGCTTAAACTAGACATAAAAAATTGTAATTACCTCAAGATACAACTCTTCAAATTCCAAGATCCATCAATATAATGTGCAGTAACAGCCATATACCCCTTTTTTGATTACTTGAAGTTCACATGTCTGAAGTAATTGACACTCTTGATTGAAGACTATCTAATAACTTTGAAGTTATTGTCTTCTCAAACTCGTACACTTCAAATATCTCTTTCCTGATAGTATTTCTACAAGGAACATGAAACAATGGTTGTAGAGAAGCAACCAATCATCGAAAACCAATATGATCTACAATTGAAAGTGGATACTCATGCATAATTATTGCACATGCAAGCTCTTTCCTTGAATTTTCAGCATTATAAGTACCAACTCCTAATTCTTGCTTTCCTTGTGAGCTCTTTGGCATGAGAAATGTTTTTCCTTTTGTAGTCTTGTTCTCATGAATTTTGCGATGAATGCATGTCTCCATATGTTGAAGTAAGTGTTTCGTTCCATTGCTTGACTTTTCACCAGGACATTTCTTGCAATATTTAAATTGAGCCTTATCCTCCCCATTAACTTTCACCTTTATAAAATGATCCCAAGCCTTACTCCTAAGTCCTCCTTTCTTTGTTTCTACCAATGCTTCTATATTATCACCTGTATCTTTTTTATCAATTGTCTCATCATTAGGTGTCTCAACTATTTACGTCAGTGGTGTCCGGCCATTAAGTGAAGAGTTGAAACTTTCTTCCATACAGGGAGCTAGTTGGTGTGCACTATCTTGTGAAATAAGTGGGTCAATGTTACCAACATTTTCCATGTTTATCTCCTGTCAAATTGTTCAAACATACAATCAGATTTAAATTCATTAGAAACACAAATAAAGCATGAACTGATGTTTATTCACTATGAAATAAATATTCACAGAATCGGTCACTGACCATAACTTGACTCACAACAGTTCAGTAACACAAATATTAGTGTTGCAAATAGAACACATCAATGAAAAAACTAAGAAGAATATATTGCTTACAATAATCATATTCATCTACAAGACTACAACCACAATAAAGATTTAAGATTTATAAATAAAAAAAAGAAAATAAGAAGAATCATACTTACAACAAAAATAATATTGATGAGGGATGTCAAGACTCAAAATGGTGAGTGATGTTGATAATGGCTTCAAATGAAATGGGAAAAGAAAAATTTAAAGATAGTGAGTTAGACTTTTGAAATAGTGAAAGAGATAGAAGTTATCATAAGACTCATTCTGAAATCTGAATCATTAAAATTTATTTTTAGGATGTTAAAAGTATTTTAATTGATATAGCCAAAAGCCTATCGTAAATACAATGAGAATTGAGAAGTGAAAGGGTTACAAATATAATGTTAATTTTCTAAAAATGCCACTGTCAATTATATTTTTGTAAGTGTCAGTCATTGCACTTATGCATTTACTTTATCACTTATATTTTTTTTCTAAAACCAAGAAACTATAACAATAGATAGATTTAACAAATTGGGATATTATAGCGGCATATAATTGTGATACTGTAGCGGCATAAATTGTTAAATCATATATATTACAATATAATAATAATAATATAAATAATAATAATAATAATAATAATAATAATAATAATAAACGGGGCGGGTTCGGGGACGGGTTCAGGGTGGGTACTACACTCCTTATTACCCACCCCATCCCCATATCTTGAAATCATGGAAAACCCAAACCCGAACTCAATCCCAGTCAAAGTGGGTTTTCCCCGTCAAATTTGGGGCGGGTACCCACGAGTATGGGTTATAATGTCTAGATAATCTGAGCCAAAAGATGTCTTCGTCCGTCTTTAACTGGAGGAAGTATCAGAATAAATCTATGGTCAATTTAAACAGAGCTAGAAAATGTCTACTGGAAGAAGTATCAGAATAAATCAATCGTAGATTTAATCTGAGCCAAAATAAGTCTACGTCTGTCTTTAACTGGGAGAATTATAAGAATAAAATTATGGTCGATTTAATCTGAGCCAGAAAAAGTCTAATGAAATAAGTATCAGAATAAATCTACGCTTGATTTAATCTGATCCAGAAGATGTCTACGTCAGTATTTAACTGGGAGAAGTATCAGAATAAATCTATGGTTGATTTATTCTTAGCCAGAAGATGTCTTTGAAAATGACCCTCTGAGGAAATTGCTGAAATAGCCCTTTGTTAGATGTAGCCTTTGAGAAGATTGTTGGGTCACATAAGTAGTTGATAATGTTTCTCTGTTGATTGATCTTTCCTGAAAAGGTAAAGAGTTAGTTGTATGCAACATCATGATGCATGAAATGCATTGCATAATGATGTTCTCAAAATAAATGAGACTCTGATATATGTGTTTTGTATCCATATGCTATGATATTGGTAATGATGTATGAATGTAAAATGTTGTTGGAAATGTATCAACAGTTTCGTATGACATCTTGTTGGGGAAAATGAATCCCTGACTGGTGTTGGGGATGAAGAAAATGTGCAATCCTCAACCTTGTCTAGAATGCTTCTATTGGGGATTCCTGCTTTCTATTTGAGGAAACTCCGTTGCGGAATGTTGACTTCTATTTGGGGAGAAGATTTTAGGAACATTAGTCGTTCCTTGCTCTAATGGGGAGTTTAATTCTTATATACCATGACCGGGGATAAAAGAGATGGATAATCTTCTGACTCATGTTGGGATAGTGGCGATTTCACTGGGGAGAGTAATTTTGCCGGTGATTCGTAGCAATCTGAGGAATATACTCAATCTAAGGAGACATCTATTGCGGAAATAAACCCTGTTGGGGAAATAAACCTTGTTGATGAAGAAATACTCTGTTGAGGGAACAAACTCTACTGGAGAGAAGAAATCTGCAGGGTGTTTTACAGTTTTTGGAGGAATAAACTCAACTGGGGAAGAGAATTTCCATGAAATGATTGGAACTCCGTAGGTGGGTGATATTGCCAGGAAAAAGATCATATTCTTTTATCCGTTGGAGCAATCTTCCAGGGAAATTGTGGGGAATGTGTCTTCATTGAAGATGAATTTGTGAGAATTACTTTGTGGGGACAATCTCATGGAAGTGGCTTTGTTGGGATTTGTGGATGGCTTGAATGTCATCCCAACTCCTAGAGTCTTGAGTAAATGCTTATTCATGTTCTTATGCATAGATTTGTTAAAAGTTAATCGTGCTCATATGCATATGTTCATTCAATTTTAGTCATTGGACGTTTTTGCAAACAAAACAGAAAAATTAAAAAACAAAAGTTTGAATTTTAGGGTGTATTTGTATTGATAGTTTGCCCATAAACAGGCGATTTTGTACAAAGAGACATAAATCCTAGTAAGAGGAAATTGCCATAAAATAAAAGAGTACAAAGTGAAAACAAAACATATAGCTATGTGGAAATGATCTCATTGGGTTCCAACTCTGCTATTGCCCCTATGTCTTCGAACATCTCATCCTTTGCAGTCGGAAGAAATTGATTGAACTTGTACCATTTGAACTTGATATTGGTAATAAAGCTTGTCGTAAGTGATCCAATGGGACATAGTCGTACGCTTTTAATCCCTAACTTTTGCCTAGACTTCCCTTTCGAGTTTTCAATCCACCGGGATACCCTTTCTTTCCCAAGCCGCCTTTTCAGGTTTTCGACTTGCCGGGTGTACAATCTTTTATATATATCCCTAATTTTTGCCCGAACCCTTTTGGTTCACTGGGATACGCTTATCTTTGCCTAGGCCAATCAACCTAGCGGATCGTTTTCATGTGTAGTATCTTTTAACTATGTCCACGTTCACAGGGTGCAGGAAATATTCATCGTCCATGGTGGTTAGTATCATAGCATCGCTCGAAAATAATTTCTTGATAACAAATGGCTCTTCGTAGGTGGGAGTCCATTTTCCCTTGGGATCACCTTGCGGTAGAACGATGCGCTTTATTACCAAGTCACCAGCCTGATATACTCGATGTTTAACTTTCTTGTTGAATGCCTTAATCATACGTTTCTGATACATCTGACTGTGACAGTAAGCTGCAAGTCTCTTTTCGTCAATCAGATTCAACTGGCCTAGCCTGGTCTGAATCCACTCGTCTTCGTCTAAGTCTGTATCTTTCATAATCCTCGGAGAAGGAATCTAAACTTCGACAGGTAGGACAGCTCCCATACCATATACCAGAGAGAATGGGATTTCCCCAGTTGATGTCTGCGCTGAAGTGGGATAGCCATGAAGAGAAAAATGGTAACATCTCGTGCCAATATTTGTAAGTCATAACCATCTTCCGTATGATCTTCTTAATATTCTTGTTGGCGGCTTCCACTATGCCATTCATCTTTGGTCGATACTGAGAAGAGTTGTGGTGTTTGATCTTGAACTGCATGCAGAGTTCAGTGATCATAGTGTTGTTGAGGTTGGTACTATTATCTGTTGTGATTCTCTAGGGGATTCCATACCAACAGACAAGGTTATGCTTTATGAATCGGGCGACCATATTCTTGGTAATAGAGATGAATGAGGCTGCTTCAACCCATTTTATGAAGTAGTCAATAGCGATAAGGATAAAGCGATGTCCATTAGAAACGGTAGGATTGATTTCTCCGATCATATCAATGCCCCATATTGCGAATGGCCAAGGAGAAGATAAAACATTCAGAGGAACCGGAGGCACATGAACCTTATCAGCATAGATATGGCATTTATGACAAGTCCTCGAGTGGTGGTGACAGTCGGTTTCCATAGTTCACCAATAGTAACCTGCTCTTAAAATCTTCTTAGCCATAGTATGCCCACTGGAGTGAGTACCAAAGATGCCTTCGTGCATATCCTCTATAATTTTCTATGCTTCCTTCTGGCCTACACCGTGAAGCAGAGTTGAATCATGATTACGTTTGTAAAAAATTACATTGATCAAGAACTTAGCTGAGAACCTCCATAGGGATTTCTTCTCATTGATCGATGCCCCTTCAGGGTATTCTTGAGCTTCAAGGTACCTTTTTACTTCATGAAACCAAGGTTTTTCTTCTACTTCATCGGTATCAATTTCATAGTAATGTACCGATTAGTCGAATCTTTCAATTGTAATTCTGGGAGCTTCATTGTCCCAACTGACCTTGAACATGGATGACATGGTAGCTAATGCATCCGCCAACTGATTCTCTTCTCTTGGGATATGCTCAAAAGTAATCTCTTCGAAATACGGAATCAAGGTTAGCACGTGTTCTCGGTAAGGGATGAGATTTGGGTGTTTCGTATCCCATTCTCCCTTAACTTGACTAATTACCAGAGCCGAATCCCCATATACTCTCAAGAACTTGATTCTCAGTTCAATAGCAGCTTTAATACCCATGATGCACGCTTCATATTCAGCCATATTATTGGTGCAGTCAAAGCAGAGTTTGGAAGTAAAAGGTGTATGGCAACCTTGAGGAGAGATAATTATAACACCAATTTTGTTGCCAAGTGCGTTAGAATATCCAGCAAAAACCATAGTCCATCGGGATCCTAGCTCAGGTCCTTCATACGGTCCAGGTTCTTTACAATCCGTAACTAGCATAATGTCCTCGTCTGGGAATTCAAAGTTCATAGATTGATAGTCGTCTACAACTTGATGCGCCAAATGATCTGTCAATACACTTCCTTTGATTTCTTTTTGAGTGGTGTATTGAATGTTGTATTCTGTTAAGACCATTTTCCATCGGGCTATTCTTCCGGAGAGAGCTGGCTTCTCGAATATGTACTTGATGGGATCCATTTTAGATATCAATAAAGTAGTATGAGTCAACATATACTATCTTAGTCGGCGAGAAGCCTATGCCAAAGCGCAACAAGTTTTCTCAAGCAGTAAATATCTTATTTCACAATCGGTAAACTTTTTTCTAAGGTAGTATATTGCATGCTCTTTTCGACCAGACTCGTCATGCTTCC